TACCAGTGAATACCTTTTATTAAAAATGCAACTTAATAATTTAATCTACCATCACCAAATGCATAAACAGTGTTGGCTGAAGAGCGCGTAACATGTGTGGGTCTCATGGACGCATTGACTCGAGCAGTATTAATTTCATATCACAAATCAAAAACGTACGTCTTTGTGTGTGCATATCCTGGCGTACTGGGTTATTTAATGTCAAACAAGACTGCGAAACATGTTGATCAACTCTTCCATTTGTTAAACCAAACCGGTTTTATTTGTCTCGCACTTTTATCACCACTACTCAAACCGGTTGCTTGACCTACATCTAGTTTCGGTTTTGCATATATTAATGTACGGTATGGTCTGTCGGTTTCCTTCAGCCAATCAGATGCTGCCTATTAAGCTGCTCGGCAATGTTCGTAATTTTGTTAGCTTGGCGATTGGTGGAAAACATCACGACCTTGTGTCAAACTAAAAATAGCCAGGCATGCTAAGGGTATACTTCAGAACGGGGTGATGGTGCAAACAAGCGACAGAGTATGTATAATACAGAATAAATGCGAAAACTTGAATATGAGGGTTGTTTTTCTTTTGTCGAATCTAAATATTTCGATATTCTACAACAGACAATTGTGTTTTTGTTTCTTGAAATTTGTCAATGTAAGTGAATATAGAATCACTGTCCAAGTTTGTTCTTTACCTTGTTCTGTGAAATACGGCACATCCTTATAAGAAAGTTGTTTACTACGCTAGCGTAAATTTGACAGCTCCAGCGATGACAAGCCATTGTATTCAGGCAAGTTTAATCAGTTGGTTTGGCAATACTACCTCTCAAAAACCATCACCAGCTGAGAAAACTGGTGAAAAAATTGACACGGAAAATGAACCTTTGCCAAAGAAACAAAAAGTTGGTTAAGATTTGACAGATCACTTGGTATGACTTGCCACTCTGGCAGCCATGACAGTGTTCAGGAAATCCTGCTCTCAGTTTACAGGTTTACATGTTTACTGATTATAAAACAATACATTGAAATGACATAATTGTTGTGATGTTTTAAGTTCAACTGGGTCATCCAAAGGAATGGGCATGCCTATTGTCATTTAATTATCTGCCTGGTGGCCTATGGCTCCCTTCGACAAAACTGCATTTTCATCCCCGATTTCTGTTCTGACTTCATCGTTTAGGAGAAGCCCATTAGCACAGGACATGGTTTGCCAGCACCAGGCATGGACACAAGGAGTAGCATTTGTAACATTTTGTGGTACAGCGTGGCTATCACACTGAGATACTATGCCACAGTTCTGACATAGATTCCCCATATACTGTGTATACATTTTGTGGTACAGCGTGGCTATCCCACTGAGATATTATGCCACAGTTCTAACATGGATTCCCCATATACTGTGTATACATTTTGTGGTACAGCGTGGCTATCCCACTGAGATACTAGGCCACAGTTCTAACATGGATTCCCCATATACTGTGTACACATTCTGTGGTACAGTGTGGCTATCCCACTGAGATACTAGGCCACAGTTCTAACATGGATTCCCCATATACTGTGTACACATTCTGTGGTACAGTGTGGCTATCCCACTGAGATACTATGCCACAGTTCTAACATGGATTCCCCATATACTGTGTACACATTCTGTGGTACAGTGTAGCTATCCCACTGAGATACTAGGCCACAGTTCTAACATGGATTCCCCATATACTGTGTATACATTTTGTGGTACAGCGTGGCTATCCCACTGAGATACTAGGCCACAGTTCTAACATGGATTCCCCATATACTGTGTATACATTCTGTGGTACAGCGTGGCTATCCCACTGAGATACTAGGCCACAGTTCTAACATGGATTCCCCATATACTGTGTATACATTTTGTGGTACAGCGTGGCTATCACACTGAGATACTAGGCCACAGTTCTAACATTGATTCCCAATATACTGTGTACACATTTTGTGGTACAGCGTGGCTATCACACTGAGATACTATGCCACAGTTCTAACATGGATTCCCCATATACTGTGTATACATTCTGAGCAGCCATGTCCTTCTTTACCAACTAATGCCAAGTGCCTGGCATGGTAACAAAAAGAAGCATTTTTTAACATTTTGTGGCAAAACGAGTCACAGATCACAACCCAGACCTCGCCTCCAGTAGAATGACAAATTATAACATTTAGTAGAGGGGTTCTGGAGGTCATCTAATAGCAAAATTGCGAATTACATGGACCCCAGAGTGAGAAGCAGGGCTGTAACAATGCATCGAACTATCCATGGATTGCAATTCTTGAGTCTCCTATAGCAATTAATCGATGGTAGAGAAAAAAACTATCCATGGATCGATAGTATGTGTGACTATCGATAGTTTAGTAACTGACTTCCCTTGATAAATGCACAACGCAAAATACAGGACGTTTGGGTGCAGACTAGCTAAGATACATAGCGTTCACTGACATGAACGCTATGCAGCACCTCCATAGGCCGCAATGGTGGAATCCTTTGTCGCACTTTCGCGCACTCTTTACTATTTTTGCGCACGAAAAACTTATATGAATTACTTCTTTGTACTTATACCTACACGTGCGCCCTATTTTCGTTATCAAAATATCCAAATATATATATTTACAAGCCATCAAACATCTCAGTCGATCGCTCACATATGAGCGGGGCCATTTTGAATCACGTGACCTGTGACGCGAAGGGGATATCCCTCCCAAAAATAGTAACACACGTGTTTCATACCTCCTTGATTGTTTACAACAAATTTTCATACATTTTAGGCAATTGAAACGATTGTATGGAGATTTTCGTTTTCAATCTAGACTGACTGACCACCCCTGCTTTTTAAACAGCTGTTTTAAAAGGAATTGCTGGTGAGTTTTCAATACTTCATATAATATAAGATTATTGCTGTCACCTTCACAGTTCCATGGAGGTCTCTGTACTACTCCTGAATATTTGCATACAAAACATAGTTTACTAATTGAATTTAGGACTTAAATAATTAATGAGTTCACGAATTAATTATCTATAAATTTCATTTGTACCATATAACCTTAAATATTTCTCATTTCACATTTCTCCTTTGGGAAATTACTTCAAATGAGACTATTCAAGGAGGAATAACTATTGCAATAGCTGGTTGCAATAGACTATCACTATCGCAATAGTCACCCCTAGTGAGAGTGAGTGAGTGAGTTTAGTTTTACGCTGCACTCAGCAATATTCCAGCTATATGACGGCGGTCTGTAAATAATCGAGTCTGGACCAAAGAATCCAGTGATCAACAGCATGAACATCAATCTGCGCAAATTGGGAATCGATAACATGTGTCAGAAAGCCTGACCACCCGATCCCGTTAGTCACCTCATACGACAAGCATGGGTTACTGAAGATCAATATTCTAACCCGGACCTCCACGGGTCCCTAGTGTGGAGATACTTGAAGCACTGTTTGGCAAATTCTAAAGTTTGCAGTACACTCACGTGACCTTGATTTGTGGATATAAGAGAAGTGTGGCGTAAATCATATTCTAAATGCACGATTTCATTTTGTATACTCACTGATTATTTTATTCATTGATTCAGCAAATTGAAAATGCCTAATATTACACTTGTGAATGAAACGTTTATTTGCCAAAGCCATTTGCAATTATCACCCATTCATGTGCACACAAAATGTGACGTCACTTTGTTTCGTGGATTATGTAGTCAATTACAATTTATCACTATGTACGACAGACTATTGCAGTAAGTATTGACACCTAGGAAAGCAGACAACGAGAAGTGAGAAGGTTGGTGCTAACGGTATCTTTTTTACTTGACATTTTGTGAACATAAAACTTGGTATTAGTATTTTTATAGTGATCTTGGACTATTTATCTCAGTGCTGGACAATTAGATTTAGTGTAGTTACGTCTAAAGCAGAGATTCGGAACATTTTTGTCAGCAAGGCATGGCATTGTGTCTACATCAAAAGTACCGCTTCGTGACGTCATACAAGACTTAATTTACAAGATAGCATGATAATTACCGCGATCCACAAATCAAGGTTATCCACAAATTTAGGTTACGGTTCTGTATATCGTAAATAGAATCAATTCCAGATAATTGCATCTTTACAACAAACAGAATAAATAGAATGGAATGGTATGTCTCACAGCTCATGTCTTTCTTGAAAAACGTTTAGATATGTTTTCCACTTTAAACAGCAGAAAATGCATCTGGCTTACATGCAATATAAAAAGAAAATGAAAAACTAAAAATATATGACATCAATGACAATGTACACCTATACTACCAATTGTGCTTGCTAATGGCACAGCAGAGATCGCAAACCAGTCAAGAATTCTGGGATATCATCCGGGTCCTCACGGGAAAAAAACAATAACAAAAGCATCAACCAGTCCACAGAAATTGCTCTGGATCAGTGCCCCTTTAAAGCCTACTGCATATGTATTATACGAATAAGAAACTAGCAAGTGCCAAAATTGTATATTCAATCTGTAAATCATAATCTGTAGTTACTGAGCTGAGCTAACCAAGACAAACCACGTTCAAAAACACCTTTTCGTCTGGTAGTAGTTTCTGAAAACATTGCCCGAAATGAACAGAATATTTTACAGGTGCTTCAAATATTTCGTGCAAGCGGAATCGTCATACAGGAAAACACAAGGTCTGGATTTAAAGCGTTTTCCATAGTCAGCTGTGTGTTCAGTTCATGTTTCCATTATTTCAATACTAATAACATTATTCCCACATTATTTATTACTACCCTTCGGCGGATGTCAACGAACACGTTGTTCCAACAGTGCGTGATGGCCATTATCAAAACACTGAAATTTGAATCAGTAAGACTGATTATCAGTCTATCATCGTCCATTAAAGACAACCAATGCTTTGTTATCAACATTCCTGGGACACCAGCGTTACTGTGTTTGTGTACGCGTCTTCAGGTGGTCTACGGCGTTTAACAAACTTTGACAACCAAGCACTTACCTGAAAAGTCAACTCTATCCCGCAGTCGAGTGTTGACAGTGATCACGTGGACGAATATGACAATACGTGCTGAAGGGCGCGCTGTTTACGGAAAAGGACCAGTCGACAATTTCCGTAAATTAAAGGGGGGTTTTCCTGATGAAACAAAAAATCGAGTGTCGGCATAGCAGGTAGCTGATCATATGCGTAGATAATAGGGAAGCTCCTTACAGACATGCAGATCCGGTATGAGCTGGTGATGGCCCCATTCTGGATCATACTGTCGTCATGTCATTTCAAATGACGTATGAATTTATACTTGTTGCCGAGGCTCTCTTTGGGATCCATGGAGGATTATGCAGGGATACACACCCCACTTATATCCCCTTTGAAGCTCTATTTTGAAAATAGTTATATTGTACTGAAGCTCACCTTTCTGAGACGCAAAAACAGGGATGGGGTCGGGGAGTTATTGTTTGTTTGTTGTTTAACGCTGCATTCAGCAATATTCCAGCTATATGACATATTGCGGTCTGTAGATAATCGAATCTGGACCAGACGAGCCAGTGATCAAAATCATAAGCATCGATCTACCCAGTTGGGATGCGATGGCATGTGTCCACCAAGTCAGCGAGTTTAATACCCAACCCGTTAGTCGCCTCTTACGACAGGCATGGGTTAACGTTACAGAATTGTATGGTCCAGTCTTTATTGCTGAGTGCAGCGTTAAAGAATAAACCAGGGCCTAGATTTTTGAAGCTCTCTTAGTGCTAAGATAGTCGTAAGTTAATGTTAATGTATGGCACTTACGACTATCTTAGCGCTAAGAGAGCTTCGAAAATCTAGGCCCAGCATACTAGCTAAATGTGGGATGAAAAAAAGGCCAAATGGATAGAGGTGCTAGACCTTGGTGAAATCCACAAGCACGAGTGTGGTGTTGACTGACCTGAGAACCAGGAGGGAGTGTTTGAAGAACATGTAGTTACCGGTTCATCTCTGTTGTTACTGGCTTCCAGGGACGTCCTTTGTGATGTTACAGGTGCAGACTGTAGGTGGTCGATCTTCTCTGACAGAACTGTCTGTACAGCGTTACACCACACCCATCAACTCGATCTTCTCTGACAGAACTGTCTGTACAGCGTTACGCCACACCCAGCAACTCGATCTTCTCTGACAGAACTGTCTGTACAGCGTTACACCACACCCAGCAACTCATGGCAGACGGCAGGCAGTTTTATAGTTGGAAGGTTGGGTTGTTAAAATGGCTTATTGACCGGGACATTGTGAAGCAGTATTGCACACATGATAGTTAATCATACACCAGAACCATTTCTGGTCAAGTCCGAATTAACGATAATAGTGAGTATGGTTTTACGCCGATTTCAGCAATATTCCAGCAACATCACGACGGGAGACACTAGGAGTGGGCTTCACACATTGTTCCCATGTGGGGAATCGAACCCGGGTCTTCAGCGTGACCAGCGGGCGCTACTCCACCGCCCCTAAACAATATGAAAACGTTAACTTGGAGTGCAAATTTCACAAGTTAGCTCAACAAATACTATTTCCGTATATATCACAACAACCATGGTTCAAAAGGGGTAAAATTGTTATATATAGATGTGTTATTACAGATCTTCGCATCAATATCATTCAAAATACGTTGAGTGACGTAAGTTTTATCTACCTATGTTCATACACTGGTAGAACATTTACAACTGCTTGGGACCGAGTAAACGACCACGCTCGTCGGCGCTGAATCGGGAACAGGTCAAAAGGGCCATAGATTAAAGACAAAAGGGCCAAACTAAACATCTCAGAGTGTCTGTGTTGTTTATTTAAAACATCTCAGAGTGGTTAAGTGTATATTTTATGAGTATAGTCAACCATACAACTGTGTATTTAAAGCGTTGCTAAGATCGTTTATACTGCAAGTTTCACACACAAAAAAGAAAAATGCAACACGAACCGATGTCCATAACCAGTATCTACATCTGGTAAAGGTCTTCTCCATTCGTTGTAGGACAGCTATTGTATAACATCTCCCCGTCTTACAGTAGAGGGATGGACACCAGCAATGGTTGAGGACGTCAAAGTGTATTTGACCTTACTGTTTCAAAACAAGCTCCATTTGCATGTCGTGTTTGCAGCACAGCTATTGTACAAAATATCTTGCACCCTCTTACATCAATAAAAGAGGGATGGACACCAGCAATGTTTGAGGATGACTGACTGAGTTTGGTTTTACGCCGCTTTTAGCAATATCCCAGCAACATCACGGCGGTAATGGTTGAGGAAGTCCATGGACATCAAAGTATACTGTGTTTGACCTTCCTGTTTCAGACCATGCTCTGTTTGCATGTCGTGTTGAGACCACACCTATTGTACAAAATATCTTGCAGCGTCTTACATCAACAGTAGAGGGATGGACACCAGTGGCGTCCATATCTGGTGACAAGTTCACTTCTTATTTCCTGTCGGGGCACATTTCATTGATATGACACCAAACCTTTGGTATATGATATTGTCATAATGTTCTTACTTTGTATAAAAAAGTCTTTCTTTTGGGGGGTTTGCATGAAGAAGTATATACATTAATATTTGTATAGCGCCAATATCCAGCTCAGCTGCTCCAAGGCGCTTTGTTTTTCCCTCGATCTTTGGATGTCGATCTCAAACGGGACATCGTATTGTCAATCTCAACTCCCTGGGGATTATACAACTCTTGCAGCCACAAGAAGCGCTGAGTTAATGTGGCTTTCCCATCCTTACGAGGTACCCATTCATAGCTGGGTGGGCTGTGACACAGTCACAGCACTTTGTCTAAGTTTTACTGCACATTGCTGTGAGTTGAGTTGAGTTGAGTTGAGTTGAGCTGAGCTGAGCTGAGCTGAGCTGAGCTGAGTTGAGTTGAGTTGAGGTGAGGTGAAATTGGGTTTAACGTTGTGCTTGAGAATATTTCGCTCATATGACGACGTGCATGCGTGTGTATGTGTAGCTGCTTGTACTAGCCCAGACTTAAGCTGGTTTTATAGTGCTAGCCCACTGAAATACCATGCGGCAGTGAAGCACGAATACCCTAATCAGACACATTATACGGACTCCGAGCCGACCAGTCCTTGTTGTACCCATTAATGCCGAGCGCCAAGCAAGACCAACAAGTACCATATTTTAACGTCTTTTGGTATGACGCGGTCGGGGATCGAACCCGCGACCTTCCGCTCTCCGGGCGGACGCTCTAACCACTACACCACAGAGGCGGTCGCCCGTTGCTGTACCCTCAACTTGGTGTTTGCACGTATTCATGTGGCCACCATCTGGTCATTTACCAACGCATTTGTGGGTTCTTATAGGTACACAGGGTTGTGTACTGTACACTCGGGGTTGTGACAACACAGAAAGTTGACTCAAGGTTTCTACACCTGGTCACAGGTGGGCTCGATCCCGGCACCTCAATCTCACTGGTTCACTTGACTGCCGCCTTAGACAGCCTTCAGCAATATAACAGCCGTGACCCCAGAAATCGACCTCACACATTGTACCCATGTGGGGAATCGAACCGGGTCATCCGTGTGATGAGCGAACACTTTCACCACTAGGTTACTCCTCTTGAGCACAAGTAAAATGTTCTAGTAAATTTTGAAACATACCAATGCGAATGGGTTTGAACCCAACACGAATGACATAACTCTGCAGGCGATGATGCCACATTAATTTTAACCCACACACTCTTCATTGAGAGATTCTGCCTTTTTCACAGGGCTTCAAGTGCCCTCTGATGGCAAATAACACTTTAACACTGAACACGAAAGAACATTTATACACCTTGTAGCATTCTGAGAATGTAGGTAAACTGAATTCAAACTGGTTCAAACACTAAAACAGTAGTGACAAAATCGTTTGTGAGAAAACGTGATCCATTGCTTAGTTGTTTGGTCACTGCGACCAATCTTCGATTATTTCAATTATTCGGAACACCACAAGGCAATATTCTGCTTAAAGGTTAAAGTGTTCGCTTGTCACTCCTGGGTTCGATTCCCCACTTAGTTACAATGTGTGAAGCCCATTTCTGGTTTACCCGCCCAAATGCTTAAATGTTGCTGGAATATTGCTCAAAGCAGCATAAAATCTTCATCACTCACTCACTTGTGTAAGTAAACAGGAAATTGCTGTTTTCGGATTGGTTCAGCAAGGTTGAGAATATTTGGATCATCCATATGTTCTTCAGAGTTCGCACTCATGTGTATATTTCCTTACTGTGCCTGTAGATTATTCCAATAATGGCTGGTGTTGGCGTAGCCTTACGGTTAGAGCATTCACTAGTCATGCGAAAAGCTTGGTTTTGGTTTTAAGTCAGTGCTCACTCACTCCACCATATGGGAGATATATACTGAGAGGCGTTAAAAACGCATATTGGACTTTCTACTCTAAGTCCGTTTTAGAGATGTTGCTGTTTCCAAAACTACAATATGGTGAAAACATATGGTTAAGAAATGCACAGCTCTGATGTTTAGGTTCGAATCCCACGTTTTCAAATCACAGGGACGTGACATCTCAAACGCAGCCAAGAGCACGTGCGATGACAATGCAGTTGGATGAACAGAAAACCATGGTGCACGTGCAATGTGCACACTCAGCTCCCATAAAGGCACAGGTTGAGAAATGGCTTTCATTCACATTCACGATGCCACGGTTGACCAACGCCCCAAAGGAACCAAGCAGTTGGAATGCTGCATGCTGGCCAAACACAGAGAGACGTTGCTAATCACTTCCACATCCACCAGACAACCATTTCGAGGCTACAGCAACGCCATAGGGCTACAGGAAGTGTCCCAGACCATCCACGTCCAGGAGCGCCTCGTGTGATGTCACAAAGGCAAGATCGGTACATCGTCGTTAGTCATCTTCGGAATCGCTTCAGGTCTGCACGAGAGACTGCAAATGCCACGATAGGAACGAGAGGACGTTCCATCAGTGACTGGACAGTACGCCGTCGCCTTGCTGCACGTCACATCCGATGCCGTCGACCCTATCGTGGACAGATCCTCACCCATGCACATCGCCTAAATCGTCAACGTTGGGCAGCTGCTGGAGGCAAAAAAGAAAAGAAATTAACGTCAACTTCCGCTCTGACTTGGTTGTTCTTCAAGGGAA